GGTCTTCAACCAGACTTATAAGAGCTAAGAATCCTTGAGGATTTGATGGAACCGAAGCAAAGACGCTCAAAGATCATTCCCTCGTTCCTCACGTATTTGTTTTGAACCGCAGCCATGGCTATTACTCATCATTACCTCTCCATACCCCCAAACATTGCTACAACACGTTTGCAAGGGATATATTCCTATGTCGTTGCCTTTTGTTCTTCTTTGGACTCTAGCCTAGCCATCTGTTGGATGGTACTCTTAGGTCTGTTGTTGAATTATGCCATCGAGTTTGGCAGATACAAATGGGCCCATAGGACCGCCACCAAAGGTCATCCGCTGATACCTCCGAGATATCCCTCCCTCATTCCGTGGCTTGGCCACATGCTTCCCTTTGCATGTGATAATGGCCGTTTTGTGAATTATGTCGCGTAAGTACAATTCAACCCGGGTCAAGAACCTTCAGCTATAGCTAATACTCTCGCTCAGTTCCTACAGGAAGAAGCTTACATCTGTGGCAATCAAATTTCTGGGCCTTGAATTCTATGTCTTGCAAGACTGGCAAACGGTCAAGCAGACACGCCATGATCCCGCCATTGAGCCTTCAATCCATGTGTACACCTACACGAACAAATATTTCTTTGGGATCCCATCCGCCGGCGTGGCTGCTTACCTAGCGGATAACAGCGGCCCACATCGCAAGCCTCGCCCGGGCAGCGATCCAAATATCTCTCCTCACAATCGCATCCACCACATTACACACCAAGGATTCATTCAGTCGCTCACTGGACCGGGCATGGCGAACATGACAAAGCGTTACTCAACCAATTTCACTGCCAAGCTCAACGAGATGTCATTCTCGTCTGACTGGGAAGAACTAGACGATTTAGGAGCCTTCTTCCAGTCGGTCGTCAGCGAATCCATCATCGAGGCCATCCTTGGTCCATCATTTCTCCTTCTTAACCCAAACTTCAACTCGGAGCTTTGGGTTTTTGACAAAGACGTTCCCTGGCTCGCGAGAGGCTTCCCGTCCTTTTTCCTCCGGGGTGCGCATAGGCGCAGAGAGCGCCTTATTGCGCAGATAAAGCGTTGGTATGCTCATGCAAGGGAGCACTTTACCGGATCTGCAATACAACCAGATGGTGACGCAGATCCGTTCTGGGGCTCGGAACTGATTCGATATCGTCAGCAAAAGCTGCGTGGGGTGGACAACTTTGACGACGATTGTATGGCCGCTAGTGATCTGGGCCTGATATGGGGGTAGGTTTCTGACCCTGTTAGAATATTCAAGCACACACTAAATTTGACACAGGGCGGTATCGAATATCATTCCAAGCATCACATGGGCCGCGATCCATATATTTGAGGATCAGTCGGTGCTCGACCGCGTGCGATTCGACGTGTCGCAATACGGTACCCTTGACCCCAGGTTGCTCTCTGACTCTTCCCCATTATTGAACTCCATCTTTGCCGAGACCCTCCGGCTGCATGGGACCATGTATTCAATGCTCACAGCGCGCGACGCGGACGCTTCACTTGGAAAATGGATCCTGCCGCGAGGAAAGATTGCCCTGATAAGCTCTGGACTTTGCCATATGGATGAAGCTGTCTGGAACACTCGCGAGGGACAGTTTCCATTAACTAGCTTCTGGTCGGACCGTTTTCTTGTCTACCCTAACGACCCAAAGAGCGGGCCGCTCAATGAAGACATGCGCGCCATCGTCAATTCAGGGCCGGTCAAGAGTCAAAAAGCAAACGCGGCGACGGATCCAGCCAGGCCATCATTCTCTCTCGAAGGATTAGAGGGTTCATGGATCCCTTACGGCGGTAAGTCCGCTCCTCTCGCCTCATCACTTGCTCTCCTCCCTCCCTTCTTCACCGCCGAAGACATTCGCACTTCAGGCCACGCAGCATACGTTTTACCCATAGGCACTAATGTCTCTCCTCCCAGCTGGACGATCTACTTGCCCGGGGAAGTTCTTTGCCAAGAACCTGATCCTTTACACCAGCGCTTTGCTCACCAGTCGATTTGACATCGAGCTTCTGGATGATCATGTGTCAACAGAAATAGATAGCTGGAGCTTTGGTTTCAACGTAGCGGAGCCGACGAAAAAGGTGCCATTCAGGATCAGGAAAAGGAGTTGATTCAGTGAGGAGATTAATTATTTGTATATACGCTACGAGTTGAAGCAGTGGAGCTGTGGCCCAGCGCGGACGTCTGGCAGGTCTGGTACCTGAGTAGCGTAACAGTCTACTTGTTTGTTATCGTAAGAAATTTGGAATGATACCTACGTAGTTGCTTAGACGTGACGAGTCTGAATGTGGAAAAGAGGACCGTTTTGTTGAGACCAGATGGCGAGATGGGATCCTGCCAACACCGTGACCCGTCGATCCGGAGTTCCTTTACCGCATGACATGGGGATATATTGTGCTCAAGTTCAAAGGTATTGACAACGCGCTTCACAAGGAACTCACGTATGCATCAGATCTGATGGGTGTTGGTCATGTTTTGAAGGTGCAGTAGCTGCTGCTCTTCGCAGATGTCACTTATTTTCCATTCCTCTGTCTATGGACGCCGATATAGGTATCACAGTAGTTGTTTTGTTCTTTTGTTACAAGAAACAATATGCAGCCCACAAGCTTTCGTCCGGCCAAAGCCCACCCGCTCGCTCACTCACTCGCGCCCTCCTTTACCGCCTGGGCATACCCCGGCCGCGTCCCCTGAGGGCCCTCTGGGCGGCCCCGGGCGGCAGCGGCTTGCCGGGGGCCTGTGGCTGCGCGCTCTCCTCGTTGCGGATGGTCTCGTCGACGCCGAGGATGAGGCACGAGGCCTCGGTGGCGGCCTGGATGGCGTTGATCTTGACGAGGGCGGGCTCCCAGACGAAGCGCTCCATCATATCGGCGACGCCCTCGTCGACAAAGTCGACACCGGCCCAGGTGTTGCCCTTGCGGTGCTCGACGCGTAGCTTGTTGAGGATGTCGGTGGCGTCGAAGCCGGCGTTGTCGCACAGCTGGCGCGGGACGATCTCGAGCGCCTTGGCGAAGGACTTGATGATGGCCTGCTGCTTGTGCGGGACGTTCTTGTCGGCGAATTGGTGCAGGTACGCCGACACCTCCATCTCGCAGGCCCCGCCGCCGCCCACGATGGTCTTGTTGCGGATCGCCCGCTTGACGATCATGATGGCGTCGTGCAGCGACCGCTCCACCTCGGCGATGAACTGCTCCGCACCGCCGCGCAGGACCAGGGTGCACGTCTTGGCCTCCGGGCAGTCCTCGAAGAAGTTGAACCGCTCCCCACCGATCTGCCGCTCGTCAAACGACCCGCAGGTGCCCAGGTGCTCGGCGCGGATGTCGGAGCACGTGCTCTGCACGGTGGCGCCCGTGGCCTGGACGACGCGCTCCATGTCGGCCGCGGCCACGCGGCCCGCGCAGAAGATGTCGCGGTCGGCAAAGTACTGGGTGGCCAGGTCACCGATGGGCAGCTTGCTGAGGACGACCTTGGCGCCCGTCTTGTAGATGGCCTCGAGCTTCTGGAAGATGATCTGCCACTCGGCGTCCACGATCGCCTGGTACTCGGAAACCTGCTCCACGCGCACCTCGGCGTTGTCCTTCTCGGCCTTGAGCTCGAGCTCCACGTTGAGGCAGACGATCTTTGGCTTCTTGAACGACTTGGGTTGTTGCTCGAAGCCGGCGTAGGCGAATGTCTTCTTGAAGGCGACGCCGTTGATGAACAGCGAGTCGGTGAGCGAGCCGCCGGGGATCTTCTTGACTCCTATTAAGTGCTCGTCGAGGTCGTCTTGGTCGAGGCATAGCACAGCGTCGACAACCACTGTAGACAACATGTTAGCACGGTGGCAGGCAAGCGGAGTTGGGCAGAACCGCAGGCTTGTTGCTCACTCTTTGTGAAAAAGTCGGTATTCCGCTTGATCAGTTTGCTGGTCATGGCCGTCCCTGCCAGCTTGGCGAGTGTGTCTCTGTGGTTGGCCTCGTCGGTGCTGACGGCGATCTCCTTGACCTTGTTGACGGCCATCTGGGAGGCTCTCCTCAAGCCCTTGACGATGGTCTGTGAACTGACGCCCTGCTCCACGTGCTCCTTGACCTCCTTCAGGATCTCGCCGGCCAGGACGACGACAGATGTGGTGCCGTCGCCGACCTCTGCATCTTGCGACCGCGCGATATCGACGAGGATCCTTGCGGCGGGGTGGACAATGTCCAGGAGCTTCATAACGGTTGCGCCATCGTTGGTGATCGTCTGCCTTCCGTTCTCGTCGACCATCAGCAGGTCGCCGCCATAGGGTCCGAGGGTGGATTTTATCGTTGCCTGGACTGCCAGACAGGCGTTGATGTTTGAGATGATCTGAGGCTTTCCCTGGGAAGAGTCGGTGCCTGTGGTAACGGGAGTCAGCGAGGGGCCAGGGACGTGGGCGGCGACATGGTTTGCTGCTGGCTGATATGCCTGCGTGTCCACGGTGGGAGCTCCCAGGGGATGTGGGACAAGGAGGGGCAGTTTACTGACCTTCCTTGAGGACGATAATGGTGGGTGTCTGCCCGCCGAACGACATTTTGGGCGTTGATATGCAGCAGAGGTGAGGAAGTCGCGGAGGGAAGGTTGGAAGGAGGAGCCCAGGGTTGTTTGAGTCGCTGGTGGTGAGGTTGCTGAAGACTGCTTGCCCGGGTCGTGGACGCGTGGGGTCGATTGGAGCTTGAACTGTCGTCTGCCGCCAGAAAAATTGATGCAGCTGGGCAGCTCAGGGTCACCACTGCCATGTACCCATGTACCTCTCCGTTCCTGCTACTGCTGTTCAGAAAATCCACGCTTAGGTAACGCAAACAAAACGGGTCCACCCCCTGGTCTACATTATTAGTTCCCCCAGCACGTCTGCCCTGCAGCCTTGGCCCTTGACGGAGTGGATCTTTGGACATTGCACCCATCCAGGCTTCTCGTAAGTGAAATCTTGAAAGCCCACTTCCCAGGTATATGAATTCTCTTTCAAGGGCCCACCCTCAACACAACAGGTTGTATAGTGTAGTTGGTTATCACATCGGATTCTGATTAAATCATCAGTTTCCTTTCCGGTGACCCCGGTTCGAGTCCGGGTACGGTTAGTTAAAACTTGAAGCCCCTTGCAAGAGAATATATGTTCTAACAAGCTTGAATAGACCTCAGGATCTTCCAAACATTTTTTTTTTCCTGTTTTGATATTTAATTTTTCCTTTTGTCCCCCCTAGTGAACCGGTTGTGGCGAAATATCTTTTGCTATTTGGACTAAATACCTTTTATTTTAACTCTTACTCTATCTTTTAACCTTGATGGTTTGTCCCAGAGGAGGTTGTCCCAGACTGGACATTGTGGCAGTGAGCACTATAGATGCTGTGGCGTGTAGCGGACACCCGACCTCATATGCCAGATGGCATTTTTTGCTGTTTGGGCCGGAGCCTTCTTTTTGCTCTTGGCTTGTCTCACAAAGTCAATATTAGAAATATGATGCCGTGACTGGCTGCTGGCATCATTCCTGACACAGCTATGTCTATAAGATGAACACTATGTCCGGGATGCGGGAATGGAAGAAACACAGTAAATCAAACATTTGCCTGGACGTTTGAGACCAGATCTCATGCTACTGCTGGTGGAATAATTTTTCCCTCACCGAATGCCCGACGCCGTCTGCTCGGGTCGTTTCCTTCCAAACCACCCACCCTGCCACGATTCCGAGCTGTCAACTGGTTATATGCAGGGAGTCATGCTTGGACAATATTGGTAGGTCTTGGGTTCGACGACAAGAGGAGCAGCCAGCTACATATTCATGCGCATAGAGTTTTTCACCGTGTACTTGTTAGGGGTTTTGGTGTTTACCAGTCGATGGCCAGAACTTGAAACGCAACCGATACCTGGATTAATATCTAAGCTGGTGTTCGCATCTGTTGGCACTTGACCATGGTTTGTAAGTAGCCATGGCCCGAGCTCTGTTGAATAGACGGGGCCAACAATTGTTCCCCTATCTAGCTCTCTCTTCGTGGGAGTCGAGGTTTGTCGAGATAAGTGACTGAGTATTTGTCAAAATCCCAAGTTAGAAATATGTCAACGGCGAGCAGGCTTTTGCCACGAAGTAGAAGCATCCTTGTGGGCTGGTGTACTGTGTACAGGATCTCAGCAAGTGAGATAGATGGTGCCCGGGTGGTCTGAGCGGGATGGTTCGGCTGCTCCGACTGAGAGCTCCCTACTGTGTACACAGAACCAGTGCTTCCCGTGCCTCGGTTGCTCCCGGCGTGGCTGATTCCAATAGCGAAGTTGTTTTCCCACACGGTTCACCGGGCGACCAGTCCCTCCAGCTCGTTCCTGTCGTCTTAATCTCCCTTTGACGGATTTGGATAGGACTTCCCCTTCTCTGCCTCGTCGAGGGTACCCGGCAGTTAGTAGTCTCTGCTGGCCGTGACCAATGGATTCGTATCAAGGCGACGGCCGAGAAACGACCGGGGTGGGTCGACGGCTGCTGAAGTTTCATCCCATGCCTTGACGCTTCTGACGCGGCTGCCGGCAACTTCCCGGCTGGTTGATTAAGCTGGTTGATTAAGCTGCCAGGTACGTCAAGGCACCGGACCTGGCCTGTCGATATCGATGAGTCGAGATTGAGTCGGGCAGGGCCTGATGTTATTATTTTCACGCCAAGCGCGGTGTTATCATTGGACTGCCTTGCTTGCTGCTGCCCATGTTGCCGTGTTGCCCTTGTGACCCTGTCTCCCGGAGCCCCCCAAAAAAAGCCCCTAGCAGCTGGGACCCAGTCATAACGCACCCCAGCTGCGCAGGTAGCCAGTCAACCGCGACGTCTGCACGCACATGGCCCTGCTGCAGAGACAGGACCAAGACCTGGCCCGTGCCCCGCGGAAACAAACAACAAAAAAGTCGGGATCCCGCAAACTCCCTCTCCCCTTTCGACCCCGACATCAGTCCACTTCAGTAATCCCAGCTGATATCATATTACTGGAGGGGCCTGTCACTCTGCAGACGACCACAGCTCTGGGATTTTAATGCTTGATTCAGGCCCTGCTGACCTCACCTCCCGCCCCGAACGAACCAGAGCAAAACAACCACCGCAAACCACAGCTGCCGGCGTGCGCCCTTTTTTTTTTTATCGCTCACCCGCGCATTGTTTTCCTTGATTACCACGCGCGGCTAAATCTCGCTTTCGCCCACCCGCTCCGGCCGAGAAGTTTATGCAATGTCAGGCAACACCATGCGAGGTACGCCCAGTCGTGGGGCCGATCGTGGCCGCATTCCCACCTTCAACCACAGCCCAGCAGCTGGGGCCGGAGCTGGCCCTGGCGTCGGCTCTGGCTCTGGCATCCCCAGGCCTGTTCTTGGGGGAGACCTCGCCCACAAAGAAAGCTACGCTACTAATAGCGAGATAGGCGGGGCCAGCACGGTCAGCACCAGCAGACAAAAGCAGTCCAAGAGGGATGAGGTCAGTTGCTTTGCATTGCTCTCGAAATTGTCCAGCCTGCCACGCCGGCCTCCCCCCCAACAATGCCCCTGAAGCCTAAGCCTGGAGGGTAAACATCGCACATTGCACATCGCAGCCATGCCGCCGCCACGCTTCTCCAGCTTCAGCAGACAATCTTCACGCTCTACTGAGGCGCTCCCCTCCCACCAGACCCGCCAGGAGGAATCGCAAAGACATGTCTCGAGGTATGCCTACTGACTTCTATGTCCAGGCGATCCGCCGGAAGCTGGAGAATGACCTCTCCAAGAAGAAGCATCTCAGCGGCCGCGCTAGGCACACCCGAAAGGCTCCTCCCGGAACGGTCCTCGCCCTGAAGCCCAGCCAGGCTCTCCAGATCAAGCCCCAGACCACGGTCGCCGAGGCCGCCCAGTTGATGGCCGCCAAGAGGGAGGACTGCGTGCTGGTAACCGACGACGATGATAGGATCGCGGGTATATTCACGGCCAAGGACCTGGCCTTCCGGGTCGTGGGAGCCGGGCAGAAGCCCGCCAACGTCACCATCGCCGAGATCATGACCAAAAACCCGCTGTGCGCGCGGACCGACACCAGCGCCACCGATGCCCTTGATCTCATGGTCCGCAAGGGCTTCCGCCACTTGCCCGTGATGGACGAGAACCAGGACATCTCGGGTATCCTCGACATCACAAAGTGTTTCTACGACGCCATGGAGAAGTTGGAGAGGGCATACTCTTCCTCGAGGAAGCTGTACGATGCGCTCGAGGGTGTCCAGTCAGAACTTGGTTCCAGCCAGCCCCAGCAGATCATCCAGTACGTCGAGGCTCTGCGGTCCAAGATGTCGGGCCCGACCTTGGAGTCTGTCCTGAACGGCGAGCCGCCCGTCACTGTCAGTGTCAGGACTCCTGTGAGGGAAGCTGCCCAGATGATGAAGGAGAACCACACCACTGCGGTCCTGGTCACGGACAACGGCGCCATTACCGGCATTTTCACCAGCAAGGATGTCGTCCTCCGTGTCATTGCCCCAGGCTTGGACCCGGCCACCTGCAGCGTTGTTCGTGTCATGACTCCACACCCGGACTTTGCTCCTATCGACATGAGCATTCAAGCAGCCCTTCGGAAAATGCACGGTATGTTGCGCCCTCAAAACGACGCCTTACTTTCTGTGGGAGAGACTGACAAGACCTGTAGATGGCCACTACCTCAACCTCCCTGTCATGAACGATGGCGGCGAGATTGTTGGCATGGTTGACGTGCTCAAGCTGACATACGCGACTCTCGAGCAAATCAACGGCATGTCCACCACCGACAGCGAGGGTCCAGCGTGGAACAAGTTCTGGCTGTCTCTCGACCACGAGACAGAATCCATGGTTTCTGGCGACGGAACCCACCACGACCGCAGCCACGTCGGCTCGCGCTCGCTCATGTCTCCCGATATCAATAGGGACCGTATCTTGGACAGCGTCGCACCTGGCGACTCGGCCTCCCATGCCGGTGTGGATTCGCCCCCGCACAGCGCCCTGGCACACTCCCCGGAGCTGCCACCCAGCGAGCTGCCGTTCCCTTTCAAGTTCAAGACACCCAGCGGCCGCACCCACCGTCTTCAGGTGATCGCCTCGCAGGGCATGGACACGTTTGTTGTGAACATCATCTCAAAGCTCGGCTCTGACATTGACTCCGTCGGCGGCGCACCTACGGTCGACGACGGCAAGCTGTCCTTCAACGGATTTGCGCTCAGCTATATGGACGACGAGGGCGACTCCGTGTCCATCACGACCGACCAGGACCTCCTGGAAGCGATCCTCCTCGCGCGTCAGAACCACCGCGACAAGGTGGACCTGTTTGTCCATGATCCGGAGAAGCCCCCTGTCGCGCCCGCACCAACTGCCGTGACCGAAACGGTTATTCCCACACCTCCGGCGTCTAGTGTGCGGGAGCGCAGGAGGAGGAATTACGACGGCGAGGAGGACAGTGAGGAGGACGAGAGCGAGGACGAGTCGCCGAGGGGCGGGCGGGCCAGGAGACATCGCAGCAGGCACGCACACCAGCAGGAGCAGGTGGTCCCCGGCGTCCCCAACGAGCTGCTACTCCCTGGTGCGATCGCGACGCTGGCGGTTGTCATTGTGGCCACTTTCACGATTGGCCGCATGTCAAGCCGATAGACGCAGTGGATCTGGCATGCCGGAGCGGTGGTTTCTAGAAACAAGACGATATCCCCAGAGCAGGCGTTGTTGAATGGTGTTTACAAACGTGTTTATATAGGGTCAGGAGGTGCACATCTTGTTTGCATGAACTACGTGGTGCTCTCCACGTGCATAGACTAATAGGCATCGCCTCTTCATTCTATGACATTCCAATGCGATGCTGATTTCGACTTCCATGAAGTACTTGTCCCTGTGTGCGTGCTCGCTTAGATGGGTTGAGGATGCCTCCGTTGGCGTTCTTCTTTTGACCGTGGGACCCTGGCGGTAACCAGCCGTTGAGGCGATGTACGTTATAACGGTCGTTATCCTAGCAGATGAGTATGATAAAACAAGTACAACAAACCTTGAAGTGGTGTACATCTACGGGGAGATTTGCTTGACATTTTGTCCAAGTACCCAGGTACCCAGGTACCTGGGAGGTGGGCCCACCCTGAGCTTGCCGTCCAAT